CAGTAGAAGAAGAGATGGGAAAGACACAATACAAAAACACACTCAGCAACAGAAAAACAAATATGACACTGCCAGATTCTAGAGACTCCACACCAGCAAGACTCCAACATTCCAATGCAAATGAAGCAGAAGAGAATGACCTTAAAAACAACTTCATGAAAATGTTAGAGGCACTAAAAGAGGATATAGGAAAATCCCTCAAAGAAATGGAAGAAAAAACAAACCAAAAAATTCAAGAAATGGAAGAAAAAACAAACCAAAAATTGCATAAAATGCAACAAATGGGCAAAAATATAAACTGAAAATTGCAAGAAACATTTCAAACAGTGCAAGGGTTGAAACTGAAATAGAGACAATAAAAAAGCACAATCTGAAGAAAGGCTGGAAATAGAAAAGCTGGGCAAAAGGTCAGGTACTACAGATACAGGAATTACCAACAGAATACAAGAGATGGAAGAGAGAATCTCAGGTGTTGAAGATACACTAGGAGAAATTGATTCATCAACAAAAGAAAATCTTAAGTCCAATAAATCCCTAACATAAAACATCCAGGAAATATGGGACACCGTGAAAAGACCAAACCTAAGTGTAAAGAGAAGCTTTCCTTGAGAGGAGCCTTCCCGCCCGCCTGGTTCCAGATCCGCATCAGTCCCAAATAAACACACAGGAGGCTATATTCATTATGAAGCTGTTGGCCTTGTTTGTCTCTTACTGGCTAGCTCTGCTTTAAGTAATTACCCCATAATTGTTAATTTAAGTATGTCTCTTACCGGAGAATAGTTCCAGGCTTCCTAACCCCATGGCGTTACATTTTACTCTCTTGTGTTTCTCCTTCCCAGAATCCTCCTGGACTCCTAGCCCCACCTATCTAGATTCCTATAGGCTCAACAGTACTTTATTGACAAATAACAGGCAAATAACAGGACTTCCCCAACACCTAAGAATAACAGGTATAGAAGAAGGTGAAGAAAACCACCTCAAACAGCCCCATGGAGGGCCTCACCCTCCCTGAGGAAATGAGGGGATATTGGGGGGGGGTTGGTGAGAGGGCACTGGAGGAGAGTATGCAAATGGACTTTGGGCACCCATCCAACAATGAGAGATGCACTTTCACCCTGGACTCTTGGGGGAGGGTCTAGGCCCTGCCCTGGATGAAATGACAGACTATGGACATCCTCCCTAGGGAAATGAGGAGATATTGGAGGGATTGATGGGAGGGCATGAGAGGAGGGGAGGGAAAGGGATAGGGACCTGAATTTGACATGTGAAGCAACCTTGTTTCTAATTTAAATTTAAATTTAAAAAATATAAAAAATTAAAAAAGAAAATATTGGCCCAATCTTTGAAAGCCATGAATTAATTAAAGATTAGCTTGAGTGATCCTTGTGTCTTGGTAGGCATGGGCTTCTGCTGTTTGTGCTGCTCTAATACTTTTAGACTACAAGCTCTATCAGAAATCATCGGTCTTGACAGAGTTAAACTTCCTTTCCTTAGAAGCAATGATCCATTCCAATGTACATCACACCTGACTTAAAACACTTGGCTAATAACTCCGTGAACATCAAAAGAGAAAGAGTTATTGATCCTGCAACAGACTGAACTGTCAAAGGAAATGTGATTTTGGTGTTAACTCTGGCAAAGAGCCATCCTCAGTGGTGTTAGGCCTCTGACTGCTCAGTGACAGATAAGATGAAGGTCTGAAAACTTTTATACTGTTTTACATTGCTAGAGTATTTTGAAAGGCATTGATGCTCCAGGAACACAAACATTGAAAGAGGTCATTTATAACAGGCATCGAATCATGCTTATTCATACAAAATATTTTTCAGCTCTCAGGCTTCACATTTGATGTAACTACTCTATATTTTGCACCAACTATGTAGTATATAGATACTGAATAAGAGAAGAAAATTAGGACTACACAGAGGACAAAAATTCAGTGATACATTTTTGAAAAGAAGAGATTCAGGCACAGTCAGATGGGGAAACGTGTCACATAAGATTCATACAACCCAGCCACTATAATGCTACTGGATGTATGCCGCTTACTTCAATTCGAGAGGAGACATGGAGCATGTTAGGGTTCCAATATTTAAGGGAGAAGACAATAAAATGTGGATTAACAAAAACTACAAAGCTGTACTTTTCATTCAATTATTAAGTAAAAATACTTCTGTTAAATTCCCCCCAAATTAAAAGCTTCATGTCATCAAATTTTCATGTAAATTCCTCAAGTTAATAATGGAAATTTCTAAACTTCTAAACACAACTTGTTGTATATCTTCCTTTAGTATTTTTCATAGGGGCCTTTTAAAGAATTTAAACAAGGGGTGAGGGAGGATCTCCCAAGGAAGAGGAAATAAAATGTATTGTTATGGAGAGGCAAAGGAAGCCTGAACCAATAGAATTAAATAGGAAATGGAATGAAAGGGAAGGAGAAAAGAGGGTTGACTAATGAAGGCATTTAAAACCCATATGGAAACCTACCAGTGTAGAAGCTTCCTAAAATGTATACCTATATGAAAGCAATATAAATGGAGGCACCAAATAATAGAGACAATGCCCAGCTGGAGATACTGTGCCATTAAGTAAAACCCCCATTGCCAGTATTGAGTCACAATATGTTGGGGCCTTATGGAGACTCACAAACATCACAGGGTATTTCCAAGGCTACTTACTGGTTACTCTCCACAACCTGACAATAAGGCCCTACTGCTGAAGGGAACATTTAATTATGTCATCAAAAACAGAGAAGACAAGCTGGTAACTAACTAGAAGTTTCACCCACACTGCCTAGTTTTCCTGATGTTGGAAGATGCTTTGTGTACTGCTAGAAAGAAAAGTAACCATCTGTATCTCCTAGCTACAAACACTGGGATATGTAACAGAGACTTGCCTGCAAGATATATTGGTGTCATCCTGGCACAAATATTACGGGAGTAAGGAACTACTTTCTCACTGGATGTAAGGCCCAGTCCATTAAACTGAACCTGAGATTAGATAGGCCATGGTCCTAGGGGAAAATCTAGTTCTGATACAGAAGCACAGCAAGAAAAACACTGCTAATGACATACTGGTGTACCAATAGGCGAGTGCCTCACTCAGGTCTTATCAGAGATGCATCATCTTGCAATAGATTTAAACTCAGAGACTCAGAACTGGGCAATGTGCAAAGAATGAGAAACTTCAGAGTACTCAGTCCTGAGTGGGATGTCTTCATCAGAGCACTCCCATCAAGACTCAGGGATCCATACAGAAGAGACAGCAAGAGCCAGAGGGATTGATGACTCCAAGAAAACAGAGTCTTCTGCATACAACAGGCCTGCTCAAGATAACACAAGCAAGGCTTACACAGGATCAACCTGGGTGGAATCCATGCACTGAGAGAGTGAAGTAGAGTTGAGCTCCCAACCCTAATGAAGAAGCTATCTGCAATGAATACCTGATGGAAAGATAAAAAATAGTTTCTCTAATTGTGGGTCACTGGGTGTATGAGCCACATTTCAGGGCAGTTCCAATCCCCAGAAGTAACTTGACAACACAAAGCTAACTTAGTGTTATTTTGTAGACTTTTTGTCTCATCTAGCTTTGTTTAGTGTTTTCTTTATTTGGTCTTTTTTTGTCTGATGGATCTTTTGTTTGTTTATTTTGATCATATTATAGTTTGGGTTTTTGAGGGGTGTCTAATTGTTGTTGTTTTGATTGTTTGGTTGTTTGCTTTAGAGAAAGAAAAACAGCATGAAGTTGAGGGTCTAGGGAGGTGAGGAGGACCTGGGAGGAATTGAGGGAGGAGGAAAAATAAGGGAAAAAGAATGTAAATATATAAGAATAACAATATGCAAGAGAGATAAAATATGAAATTTAAGAAACTACACAAGATTTCTACTATTCTCCTCTCCATCTGTGCTATTCCCAGTACTTAAATCAAAATCCCAAACAAAGTACCTGGGGTTTTTTGTTTGTTTGTTTGTTTGGTTGGTTGGTTGGTTGGTTGGTTGCTGTTGTTGTTTTCTGGTATGTGTGTGTGTGTGTGTGTATGTGTTTTCAATCCTTTAAAATCATTTGCTCAGCTTGATTTGGTGGAACAAACCTGCAATCATGGCCACTCAGAAGGCATTGTTAGTTCAAGGACCACCTAACTATAGAGAGTCAGTCAGAGAATTTTAATGACACACTATCCCAAATTTAAAAAGGAAATAAATGACAACAAACAAATGAAAAGAATCAAATCCAGGGGGAAATGCAAAGTTCTGGATCCATTCCCCAGCACTTAGCAAAAGTTGTTCCACTAAGTCAGTGCTGTTTAAATGTGAGAAATAATACATGAAGCTAGATTTGTAGAAATTTGTAAATAAAAGTTCTGATACAACTTCATTATTTCAGATTAAAACTTAGAATTGAAATCTAGGACATCTAAGGAGGTAATTCATTTATTTTAGAAAGTCATTAGCATGATAGCTTGGGAGTGAGTATGTGTGTGTGTGTGTGTGTGTGTGTGTGTGTGTGTGTGTGTGTGTGTGTTATTTAGAAACATCTATTCAAGAGTGATTTTTAATTCGCACTCACATTTTTTGCCCTAAATAGTCTCTCAAGATCACATGAGAATTCAATTTTTTAAATATTTATACTCCCACATAACATTTATTTTTAAGGTGAAATGGAATACAATGAGACAAATACATAATAAAAAATGATCTATAAAAATAATCAGAATAAAAAATTCATTTCTTTTTCTTAAAATAGACAGTGTGCTCCACAGGTCCCACTTACTTGTCCTGAAACAAAAGCACATTTTGACTCACTGTACATCTTCCTGAGGAAGCCTCACACACTGAGAAACTGAGTGGATTTGGAAATGAAAGAAAGCAGAATCACACTGCCAAATTGGCAAGGATGCTTCCTGTCTGTAAAGCATCAACCAAGAAGTTACTCTATCTTCCTACTTGCATTTCTTTTATTGCCAATGAAATTATACTACAGTATATATAGGAGCTGAGAGTTCTGGGCTTTTGTTCTTCATCTTCCACTACTCAGGAATAACTGAGCAGTGTCCTCCTGGCCAGCAGAGTAATCGGCTGAGAAGCTTCCCCAAGGTAGGCACTTGGAAATACTAAGAGTTTTAACTTGACGTTAAATTTTGCCTGGCTCCAGTGATAGGATTTCAATGGAAGGTTTATAGAACATTCTTTTTTCATCTAGCATTTCAATGGAAGGTTTATAGAACGTTCTTTTTCATCACTGCAAGAATAAGTACCTACAAGAAGCCACAAGACATAAAATGCATCACCATTTTGAAAATTTTTTCAAGTAACAGAAAATTATTCATGTAGATCATTTGAGACAGTGAATCCAGCAGTGTACATAACTCCCTTTCTCCTCCTTGTACCTTATGGTTCCTTACCATTCGTAATGATGGGATTCTCTCAGATGTACTCTAAAAGCGATTTCTAACACATATATTTACATACAATTAATTTTGTTGTCTTTTTTAAGCTTCACATGGACTGTATCTTAGGAAAAATCTATAGGTCACATACACTCATAATATCTAATGAAAATTTGTTCCTAAGATTTTTTTCAAGGTTTGCATTATTCAGCTGCCATATTTACACTATTACCAGAGTTGACTGTGGGAGCTGATAAGTCACTGTGTGCAGTGATATGAAGGGGGAAATCAGGAAAGGTGGCTCCTTAAATTCATCACAACATTTAAGACACTGAAAAGAAAATAGAGTTAAAGAATGATGTCTTCTTCTGTCCTAGATATTGGTGGAACATAGCTGGATGTTAGAAAGCAGATTTGAGAACATTCATCAAGGACTAAGATGACTTAGCATAGTGTTAAAACTAGTCTGTATATAAAGTGATTCTTTGATGTTTGATGTTTGTATCTAACAGGAAAACATCTTCCTTATCAGCTAGGTGAAATAAGAAATTAAATATGACCAAGTTCTAGTAGTAATATCTCAAACATGAAGTTTATAAAAAATTTACTGATGTAGAATGTCATTTTTTAAGAAAAATAAGAGTACAGTTGGAAAATTCCATTTTGAGACAATTACTGCTAAGAGGGAAGCTTCTGTTGCTCAGAGTCTTCGTGGACAAATATCTGGAATTCTCTCCAGCATCAGCTCACAAGCCAAATGTAAAAACCAGCTCCATCATTATACAGTCAAATGTTATGAGCTGACCATACCACCCCACTAATATTGAGTCCAAGATAACAGTAGTAAAATTATTTTAAGATGCACTGCACTACATATACACCAAGTTTTGAGACAAGTCACAAATAATGCCACTTAGTTTTTTAAAGGAACAATAATCAGCCACTGTGCTTACTTTCAGGAACTACCAAAAAATGAAACCCCTGTATTTGGTCTTGAGCCTTTGGGTTCTTATCGGATGTTTCCTGGTAAGTATCACTAATCCCTACCATACATCTTTATATTCTATTGTTAACTTTTACTTCTGACATTTAAACATTATTTATCTGCCTTTTCTAATATGTGGGAGCTGAAAATTACAGATGAGATGCCACTCTACTACTTTAAATTACACTTGGAAATTCAGGTTTAGTTTAGTAATCACATATTGGATGCTCAGATCTATACACATATACATTATTTATTACACAGACAAATCCTGTGTGTTCCTATACTCCAGCAACTGCATAGGTAGCTCTTCTTGGCCTGTTCTTAAAGCTGGCCTTCAGCATATTCATGTCCTCAGAATATAAGAGGAAAATGAGCTATTGTTTTAAAAGGTAATGTTATCTAAACAAAATCATTTCCTTATAAAAATTAATTTGGTGAGAATTCTAATCCTACAAGCAGTTCAATGTAGTAGTATACATTGGATAAGTCTTTCAATGAGTTAGTTCCATGAGACTCAATATGATTAAAAATTGCTGCCTTCAGTTGGGAAGGCATAATTTTTCATTAGAGCAGAGAAATTGCCAATCATCTTTAATATCTATTATATGTAATTTTCAGTTTTTTCTATATATTATCTCATTTAAACCTAAAAGATAATGTGACAAATAGTCTATTACTAACCAGAATGCACTATAAGCCTATATCAAGGGATATGTGCTTTAGCTATATTGTTCTTGAACCATAAATGAAAGAGATTATCTCCAACTACAGACCCCTTTACAGAATAGTTTTTCTTCCTAGGACAATCTTTTCATCACTTTTAAATACACTAATTTAAGCCACAAGTGTGATTGGAGCTAATCACTGGGAGTGGATTAAGACATTAAAAATGATAGATATGTCCAAGAAAGTTTATCACTATTTAATATTCAGGTCAATATCAGGATGTCCTGAGGAAACACAGGAATTTTCAACTAATTCTTTATTTGTATTAACTATACGAATAACGTGAAATATTTCTCCACACGTAGAAGTTATTCCTTGGCAATGAAAACCAAAATCCTGAGCTTGCTCCCAGGATGATCAGATGCCTGTGAAATGGAACCCCATGCATCCAATGTCTGCCATTATTCAATGAACTGCAAAACTCAGAGAGGTCGCTGATCCTATAGACGTGCCTTATTATATTATATTTCACTAATAATATCAATAAAGGACTTGTGCTGGCATGTTAGGGGCAGAAGTCAAACAAAAATACAAGGGGACAAGGGGAGAGAATTTAACAAATCTGACTGTCTTTGGTGTGAAGTTCCAGTGAAATAAGGAGGTAACAGTAAAAGCCAACAGTATAGATTCTTTAGCACAAGCTTTTCGGTACAGAATAATACAAGGCAGTGTTCATTTTCTGTGGGATGCCTTTAACCTCTGCACACTTTAGTTAATGGAGAAGAAAAAAATAGAATGATGAAGTCAAATGAAAAAGTCATTACAATGATACAAATAATGAATCAGAAGAGATGAGAGGTGTCGAGAAATGGATAAACAGAACGCAGGGGACAGACACTAAGCTGTGAGATGGTATTTGGTGAATGGACATGGGTGGTGGTCATTTTCTAAATGAAGCATGCTAGTTAAAAGAAGGGACATGAAGTTACAGTAAGTAAAAGAAAAAAAAAAGTGTGTCCCTGAGAAAACAACGGAAAAGTTGTTCTCTGAAATCATTAGTGACTTTAAAGGCTGCATAGCATAGACTGGGAAGGGAGTTCACTTTTACCTGATGCAATCTCTTGGTGACAGAAGACAGAAGAGGTACTGCATCTGCAGGTAAATATGCAGGCTCAGGATGAGGTACAAAACTGTGAAAAAAAGATGGTGTCAACATGAAATAGTGTAAGCCTCTATAAAACTGGAGAAGGCAGACCAAGTAGCTTGAGGATTACAAGGCAGTGTTGAAGATCATAAACCTCTGTATTCATTGCCTATGGCATTTTCTACCATTGTTCATGAAATTGAACTTGTGGGAACAGTTTCTTAGGGCATGCCTAAAATTTAAAATTAGTAAGGGCAATTCGTCAGATGAACAAATTAAATAAATATCTCAGCATATAAATGAGTGTGTCCTAGCAAGCCATCAGCTCCAAGCAAACGACTTAGAATCAGCAATGTGGAACAAGTAACGCATACTTTCCCTCCAATTGGCAAGGTCCTTTGTGATTTATAGTCTCCCGACCTCATTTCAAATCCTTCCCTGTCAGTGAAGCAATTCTTAACCTTTCATCTGTCTAAAACTAGGCACCCCTAACACATCATTTTCCTACAATAACTTTCAGCTCTTTTTCCTTTAATGTTATACATTATGAAAAATAATTAAACTGGATGTTAACATAGTTAATAAAAGTATTTAGTTTTCAACAAGTACTGTACCAAGGAAAGGACTACCTTGACATTCTATTTAATTGCTACATAAAATTGCTTATAGCAAATGACTTCATGAAAAGGGCCTTAGGCATGACTAACAATATCCCACAACTCATCTGGCAGACCCCAGGATGTGGAAACACATATGAATGTCAATTTCCAAAGGTGGAAACAGAGTTGTTTCAAACATGATATAGAGTCACACAGTCTGTACATGACAGAGGCAGGACTCCAACTATAACCTTTACACTACAGAGACTACTAGTCTTCCTCACTTTGGCTTTTTTTGGCCACCTTGTCTTGTAGCTTCCCATTCTATCTAGTCACATTAAACATATCTGTACCTCTTACCATGGCTACACTAACATATGTTGAAAAGTACAAACTCCATGGCATGATTCACAATTTATTGGAATTAAAACCTAGAACAACCCTAAGCTCATGAATAAGACAGACATTTCCTAATCCTGTAGGGCAACTACTTCATTTTGCGATTGGTGTCACTGACCAGGTCTACTAACACCCACACTTAAGATTTTTGTTCATAGCATTTTCTTTTTTTTTCTTTTTTTTATTAATATTTTTTTTATTTTCCATTTTAAATTTAGATAAGAAACAAGATTGCTTCACAAGTCAGTACGAGGTCCCTCTCCCTTTCCCTCCCCTCCTCCCATGCCCTCCCCCCATCCCCCCCCCCGCCGTTATCCCCTCATTCCCCCAGGGAGGGTGAGGCCCTCCATGGGGGTGTCCATAGTCTGTCATTTCATATAGGGCAGGGCCTAGACCCTTCCCCAAGAGTTCAGGGTGAGAGTGCACCTCACATTGTTCTATGGGAGTCCAGAGACCCTGTGTATACTTGGGATGGGTACTGATCTGCTGTCCAAGGCTCAATAGATTACCTAGGCCTCCTCACTGACACCCAGATTCAGGGGGTCTTGATCAGTCCCATGCTGGATTCCCAGGCTGATGCCTGGGATTCAAGAGTTAACCTTTGTCTGATCAGCTGTTTCTGGGGGTTCAACCAGCCCAGTCTTAATCCCTTTGATCATCAGTCCTCCCTCTCTGATACTGGCTTTCTTGAGTTCAGCTCAGTACTTAACCAGCCAGTAAATGAAGTTTCTGTTTCCCAGACACTCTGGCAATAGGATTGTAGGCTGGCACTCCCCAGATCTATGTCTAAAATCCATATATGAGAGAGTACATGCCATGTTTCTCTTTTTGTGACTGGGTTACCTCACTCAGGATGGTTTCTTCTAGTGTCATCCATTTGCCTGCGAATCTCATGATTCCATTATTTTTTTCTGCTGAATAGTACTCCATTGTGTAGATGTACCACATTTTCTCTATCCATTCTTCGGGTGAGGGACATCTAGGTTGCTTCCAAGTTCTGGCTATTACAAATAATATTCATAGCATTTTCTTTCCCTTCAATATCATCTTAGCTTTCATCAAGAAGCTGTATATTCAGAACAAAGAGGGAAACATTTTTATCAACTTTCAGTATTTTTGACTGGGAAAAGTATAACAGTTATCTATTGCTACATTAAAAAATTGTATATCACTTGAATGCCCTCAAATTTGTTTATTAATATTTTAATTAACATAAAGTAAATACTTTTCATGTATGATTTTCATATTCCATTTGAGTGGATTTTCCCCTACCCCAGTTCCTGCTCTCACTTTCCCTTTTGTAGTCAGAATTAGTCCTTATTCTTTGTTCTATTATGTTCCCAACATTCTCCCTTAAAGTTTATTTTCCAACCTTAAAAGAAAATAAAATATGAAAACTTCAGGAGCCAGGCGTTGGTGGCTCACGCCTTTAATTCCAGCACTCAGGAAGCAGAGCCAAGTGGACCTCTGTGAGTTAGAAGCCAGCCTGTTCTACAGAATGAATTCCAGGACAGGCTCCAAAGCAATATAGAGAAACCCTGTCTTAGAAAAAAAGAAAGAATGAAAGGAAGGAAGGAAGTTTCAGAAAAATAAATGAAACTAGATAGTTTCAAAAATACACTAACCCATGCTCAGTAAAACAAATACCATTTATTCTCTTAGATCCTAACATCTAAATCTTAAATGTATGTACTGAAACCATGGCTATAATAGATACAGAAAAGGACACTAGAAAATCGCTATGAGACGATTCTCTGCTTTCATTCTGGCCCTGAGACAGAGGCCACTCTGATCTAATATGGCCTCATTGCCTCATGTTTCTCTCCAATACAGAGAATCTTTATTAAAAGTTAATAGACAATTTGGTATAATATGAAATCTCTAGCCTCTTCTGCCTCCCGCATTATAAAACTAAAGAAGAACATAGGTGATAAAATCAGGCCAGCAATTGTCTTTGGAGAGTGGGACTATTATGGACCATCCTTAAATTCAACCCATACCAGAAAGTGTATGTACTGATAGTTTTCTGAAATATCAAGTTTATAATTATGTATTTCCTTTCTCCCGCAGTCTGGTGAGTGTCACAGAGGCCCTAGAGGACAATATGATCCCAGAGGACCACCGCCTCCTCCTCCTCCTGGTCCCTTTGGTCCAGGATTTGGTAGACCATCCCCTCCTCTACTTTATCCAGGACATCCTAGACCACCCTCTCCTCCCTTTGTTCCTGGATTTGTTGGACCACGGCCTCCTCCACCCTTTGGTCCATATCCACCTTCCATACCAAGACCTCCACATCCCAGACCTCCGATCAATCCTCCTCTCACTCCTACTCCACCTCCTCCCCCAATACAAGCAAATACAACACCTAGTGCCAATATCTCCCTAACTACTGCTACTGCCTCAAATTCCACTGATGATTTTCTGAGATGGTGGCAAAGATTAATTGACCTTTGGCAGTTAGGGTGACATGCTCCAAAGCACTGTGAAATCTTTAAGAATTAACTCATTCCCAAGCATTATGCAAAATGAAAATAAAGAGCTGAGCAGCATTAAAAGCATCTATTGTTGTCATCAGAGCAATTACCACACCATCTACTGTGTCACTTGAATAAAAGTAATCATTCCAGAAACCTAATTTTGTACCATGTGGCAAACTGGTCACTGGGGGAAATATAATACCTGAACATATAGCATAGAATTGTGAACATAGATGAATAGATAAGTTTCAATTGTCATTGTCAAATAATTACAATTCACAGAACATGTTAGCATACATTGAAAGTATTCAATCCTGAAAATTCATGGGAACTATGTCATCATTATTTTTGACCCCAGGTAGATTCTACATTCAGTGATTCAAACAACCTTTCATAAAAAAACATTTAAAAATATATATACATATATATATATATATTCTAGAAGAATCCTAAGAACACTGACATTGGTACAGGGATAGAGGATATATAAGACATTTGATTTTTAGCATTGATTAACTATGAGTAGTGCAAGAATGAAGGGTAAACAGGCATGGTACCACATACTTATAAAACATGCTTTTGGAAGAATAAGACAGAAAGTTTCAAAGTAGTAAAAAACAAAACAAAACAAAAAAACAGCAAGATCCTGTCTCAAAAAGAAAAAGTGGGAACTCTACCAAAACTTTTGGTGAGAGATAGTTGTTTAGACCCGGATAACATCAATAGACACAGGGAAAAGTGCTTGGATCAAGGACATAGCCTCTCACCCCCACACCCAAAAAAATCAAAAACAATTAGATGGTCTGTTAAATCTAGGTTATTAAAACAAGAATTTAGATTCACTGTAAAAGAGTTTGCTTGTTTTGTTTTTTTTTCAAGATTTTTTCTTTTTGTCTTTTTTTTATTTTAAAAAATCTTTTCTTAGATGCCTTAGAAATAATGTGAATGTTGAGGTCTTTGATCCATTTGGACTTAAGTTTTGTGCATGGCGATAAACATGGATCGATCCGCATTCTTCTACATGCCAGTCTCCAGTTATGCCAGCACCATTTGTTGAAGATGCTTTCTTTATTCCATTGTATATTTTTAGCTTCTTTGTCAAAGATCAGATGTTCGTACGTGTGTGGGTTAATACCCGGGTTTTCAATTCGATTCCATTGGTCTACCTGTCTATTTTTGTACCAATACCAAGCTGTTTTCAGGACTATAGCTCTATAATAGAGTTTGAGGTCAGGGGTGGTGATGCCTCCGGACGTTGCCTTGTTGAACAGGGTTGTTTTGGCTATGCTGGGTCGTTATTTTTCCATACAAAATTGATTATTGTTCTTTCAAGGTCTGTGAAGAATTGTGCTGGGATTTTAATAGGGATTGCATTGAATCTGTAGATTGCTTTTGGCAGGATTGCCATTTTTACTACATTGATCCTACCTATCCAAGAGCATGGGAGATCTTTCCATTTTCTGAGGGCTTCTTTAATTTCTTTCTTTAAAGATTCAAAGTTCTTACGATACAGGTCTTTCACTTGTTTGGTTAGCGTTACCCCAAGGTATTTTATATTGTTTGTGGCAATTGTAAAGGGAGATGTTTCTCTGATTTCCCTTTCAGCCCTTTTATCATCTGTATATAGTAGGGCTACTGATTTTCTTGAGTTGATCTTGTAGCCTGCCACTTTGCTGAAGTTGTTAATCAGCTGTAAGAGTTCCCTGGTAGAGTTCTTTTGGGTCATTGATGTAAACTATCATATCATCTGCAAACAGTGAAAGTTTGAACTCTTCCTTCCCAATTTGTATCCCCTTGATCCCCCTTTGTTGTCGTATGGCAATAGCTAGAACTTCAAGTACCATGTTGAAAAGGTATGGAGAGAGTGGACAGCCTTGTTTTGTTCCTGATTTTAGAGGAATTGCATTGAGTTTCTGTCCATTTAGTTTGATGCTGGCCGTTGGTTTACTGTATATAGCTTTTATTATGTTTAAGTATGTCCCTGTTATCCCAGATCTCTCCAAGACCTTTATCATGAAGGGGTGTTGGATTTTGTCAAAGGCTTTTTCAGCATATAGTGAGATGATCATGTGATTTTTGTTTTTCAGCTTGTTTATATGGTGGATTACGTTGATGGATTTTCGTATGTTGAACCATCCCTGCATCCCTTGGATGAAACCTACTTGATCGTGGTGAATGATTGTTTTGATGTGTTCTTGGATCCGATTTGCCAGTATTTTATTGAGTATTTTTGCATCAATGTTCATGAGGGATGTTGGTCTGAAGTTCTCTTTCTTAGTTGTATCTTTGTGTGGCTTGGGGATCAAGGTTATTGAAGCCTCATAGAAAGATTTTGGCAAAGACCCTTCTGCTTCTATTGTGTGGAACACTTTCAGAAGAATTGGTATAAGCTGTTCTTTGAATTTCTGGTAGAATTCTGCACTGAGGCCATCTGGACCTGGACTTTTTTTGGTTGGGAGACTTTTGATGACTGCTTCTATTTCCATAGGGGTTATAGGTCTATTTAAATTGCTTATCTATTCTTGATTTAGTTTTGGCAAGTGATAGCTATCCAGGAAGTCATCCATTTCCTTTAAATTTTCGAATTTTGTGGAGTACAGGTTTTCAAAGTATGACCTAATGATTCTCTGGATTTCCTCAGAGTCTGTTGTTATGTCCCCCTTTTCATAAATCCAGCCACACTGAACCTCTTAGAAGAGAAAGTGGGTGGTACCCTTGAACGAATTGGTACAGGAGACAGCTTCCTGAACATAACACCAGTAGCACAGACAGTGAGATCAACAATTAATAAATGGGACCTACTGAAACTGAGAAGCTTCTGTAAGGCAAAGGACACAGTCAGCAAGACAAAAAGGCAGCCCACAGAATGGGAAAAAAATATTCACTAATCCCACATCGGACAGAGGGTTGATCTCCAACATTTACAAAGAACTCAAGAAACAAGTCTCCAAAACATCAAAGGACCCAATTAAAAAGTGGGCTGTAGAACTAAATAGAGAGTTTTCAATAGAGGAGTCTAAAATGGCTGAGAGGCACTTAAGAAAGTGCTCAACATCCTTAGCCATCCGGAAAATGCAAATCAAAACAACTCTGAGATACCATCTCACTCCTGTCAGAATGGCTAAAATCAAAAACACCAATGACAATTTATGCTGGAGAGGATGTGGTGAAAGGGGGACACTCCTCCATTGCTGGTGGGAGTGCCAACTGGTTCAGCCACTTTGGAAATCAGTATGGAGATTCCTCAAAAAAATGGAAATAAACCTACCACAAGACCCAGCAACTCCACTCTTAGGCATATATCCAAAAGATGCCCATTCATACAACAAAGATGTCTGTTCCACTATGTTCATAGCAGCTTTATTTGTAATAGCCAGAACTTGGAAGCAACCTAGATGTCCCTCAACCGAAAAGTGGATAGAGAAAATGTGGTACATCTACACAATGGAGTACTATTCAGCAGAAAAAAATAATGGAATCCTGAGATTCGCAGGCAAATGGATGACACTAGAAGAAACCATCCTGAGTGAGGTAACCCAGTCACAAAAAGAGAAACATGGCATGTACTCTCTCATATATGGATTTTAGACATAGATCTGGGGAGTGCCAGCCTACAATCCTATGGCCAGAGAGTCTGGGAAACAGAAACTTCATTTAGTGGCTGATCAAAGAAGAGGCAGACTCCCTTGGTTAAGTACTGAGCTGAACTCAAGAAAGCCAGTAACAGAGAGGGAGGACTGATGATCAAAGGGATTAAGACTGGGCTGGTTTAACGCCCAGAAACAGCTGACCTGACAAAGTTTAACTCTTGAATCCAAGGCATCAGCCTGGGAATCCAGCATGGGACTGATCAAGACCCCCTGAATCTGGGTGTCAGTGAGGAGGCCTAGGGAATCTATTGAGCCTTGGGCAGTAGATCAGTGCCCATCCCAAGTATACACACGGACTTTGGACTCCATTAGAACAATGTGAGGTGCACTCTCACCCTGAACTCTTGGGGAAGGGTCTAGGCCCTGCCCTATATGAAATGACAGACTATGGACACCCCCATGGAGGGCCTCACCCTGCCTGGGGGAATGAGGGGATAACGGGGGGGGGGTTGGGGGGAGGAGGGGAGGGTCTAGGACCTCCCCAAAGTTTACAGATTGAGAGAGAATCCCTCATTGTGGCATGGGTGCCCAAAGTTCATTTATGTGCCAGGGATATATACTGATCTATTACACAAAGCCCCATGGATTGCCTAGTCCTCCTCAATGACACCCACATTCAGGGGGTCTGGATAAGTCCCATACTAGCTTCTCAGTCATCAGTATGGGGTCCAAGATCTCCCACTTCTTCAAGGCAGTTGTTTCTCTGGGTTACTCCAGCCCAGTTTGACCCCATTGCTCATCGCTCCTCCCTCTCTGTCACTGGGTTCCAGGAGTTCAGTTCAGTGTTTAGCTGTGGGTGCCTGCCTCTGCTTCCATCTGTCACTGTATGGAGATTCTAGGATGGTATATAAGATAGTCATAAAAACCATTATCAGGGAGAGGCATTTAAGGTAGTCTCTCCACCATTGCTTAGTTTGCCAGTTGATGTCACCCTTGTAGATCTCTGGAAATCTTACTAGTGCCAGATCTCCCCCTAAACCTAGAATGACTCCCTCTATTATGCTATCTCTCATTCTGTTCTCCTCTATTCTTCCTCCAACTCAATCTTCCTGCTCCCCCATGTCCTCTTCTCCCCTCCTTTTCTCCCCCTCTCTTTTTTTCTGGCTCCCTCTCCCCTCCCACCCATACTGCCAATCTGCTCAGGAAATCTTGCCTCATTTCCACCTTCCCGGGAGTGCTATGTATATCTCTATTAAGGTCCTTCCTGTTTCCTAGATTCTCTGGCAGTGGGATTGTAAGCTGGCACTCCCCTGATCCGAGTCTAAAATCCATATATGAGTGAGTACATACCATGTTTGTGTTTTTGTGACTGGGTTGCCTCACTCAGATGGTTTCTTCTAGTGCCATCCATTTGCCTGCAAATTTCAAGATTCCATTGTTGTTGAATTCTAACTTCAAAGCATAAGCATAGTGGTCTGATAAGACACGTGGAGTTATTCTAGTTTTTTTGTGCCTATTGAG